GTTTTGGGGGACCCGACTTTGCTGGCCCTGCCATGAGCTCAGCCCCAGTTAGCCTGCCTCTGAAGGATGCTACCTTGGACTGCCGGAGGCTTGAGCCCAAAGAAACCCATTGCTTCTCCCCCCGCCACCACAGATGTGCTGCCCCCTGTGCCGGGGCAGGGGGCCACATCATCTCCTCACTGCAGGGTGGAGGAAGGGGCTTTGCCAAGCACTGCTGTGCTCTGGGTCACAGCTGATCGCTGTGGTGCTCCTTTCTCTGCTTCTTTGCCCAGTCTTGCTGTCCCAGGGGCCACAGCCCTGGTGCTGACCTGTGGTAGTGCAGTGAGGCAGCATCCTGGTGCAGCAGGATGGTGCTGGGGGACCCAAGGGTACTGACAGCATGCAGGATGGGAGGGGGATGGGGAAAATGGCAGTATCCAAAGGGCCCAGTGGACTCGGAGGGTGGAGGAGGGCTTGGGAGGAGATTCAATGCCACAGCTGTTGATGGCACAGATTTGGGAGAGGGTTCAAGGGACCATTTCCAATGGATCATTGCCCTCTCCTGTTTTTGGGGATTTTAAGGCGGGTACCAGCCCTGATTCTGTGCCACAGGGCTGGGAGGGAGAAACTGCCATCGGGGTGAGAAGGCAGTTTTATCCAGAGTGGGCTTTTATACCATTAAAGTCAAGTACCACAGACAAGCAGGACTGTGTGTGTCTATCAGCACTGCCCTCACAGGGTGGGTACAAGCAGTGGTGGCAGTGGTTTGTGCTGGTGTGACTTGGGGGGATGGTCTGGCAGTTGAAGGCCCCATTTGCCTGGAAGTCTTGTTCCTGCTCTGTTCATCCTAACAGTGGCTGTGCTCTAGTTTTTCAGCTTTGGGGTGGAGGCTGCTGAGAGCTAGAGACCTGCAGGTTCCTCTTCTCTCCTGGACAGTTTTGCTTGGTTTTGCTGTGGCCATAAAGCTCCCTGGGGCTTGGCTTTAGCTCCACTGGATCCACTGCAAAAGGTGGGAGGTAGCCACGGATCTGTGGCTACTCTGGCTAATCTAGCTACAGTAGAACCAGAGGTGAGCTGGGTGGGGATTGGCCAGCAAGGAGGCAGTGGCTCTGCCACCTTCAGCTCTGCCTTTCTCCAGGCCTACCAAGCTGCAGATATGTTTTTCCAGTGCTTTGCACAAATAAGAAGAGGAAGAAGTCCCAGAGCGATGGAGGGTAGGGCTGGGTTGTACAAGAAGCCTTGTGCTGCTTACTCTGGAGCTCTGCCTGGTGCACAGAGGCTGATGCTGTCTCTGCCAGTTGAGAATGGGTCCCTGCACACCCCTCTCCCCTGTGGGTCCAGCTGCAGCAGGATGTACTTTCCTGCCCCACAGCTTCTCACAAGGACAGCAAAGAGGGCTGGTACCATGGGAGGCTTTTACTTTTTTTTTTAATCTTTTTTACAAGTTTTTATAACAAAAATATCTGTTGGGGCCAAATGCTGCCCCAGGCAAACAGTCTGTGTGGGCAGGCCATGCAGCCAAGGGATGCTGGAGCACTGGCTCTTCCTTGGCCCAGAGTGGGAGTGAGGCAAGGTGGGGTGGCAGACTGAACCGGTGGGGCTGGGACTGCCACATTTGTGGGGCTGGGACTGCCACAGAGGCGCGGAGTTACACAGTGTTCTCAGTGCTGGCTGCTGTGTAGATGACCTTGGATTTGGTTGGTGAGTCCAGCCTGCTAGGGGAAGAAAGGGGAGGGGGAGTGTTAGACCAGGCAGGAGGCCAGTGAGACCACCCTTAACTCCCTTTTTCATGCCCAAGACTCATGCTACCCCCAGACCCTCTCCTCCTGCATCTACCTATCGCTCACCGTGTGTTCTGGCTGCGGTGCTTATAGATGTACAGCAGGAAGGCCAGTGCTGTGACAGCAAAGAGCACTCCAAAGAGCACGGCCAGCACATCCCCTGCAAGCCAAGCACAGGTGTGTTACACTGTGGGTGGTCCCCTGTGACTGGCCAAGTGAGATGAGGCACGGAGCAGGCTGGTAGCCCAAAGGCAGAGGGGACACAAAGCAGCAGCCATGGCTGAGCACTCTTACCTGCATGAAATGAGCTGGACTCTCCTGCAAAGGGGGCAAAGACCAGAGGATGAGAACCAGCTGCACAAATGCTGGGGCAGTGCTGCAAGCCCACTGTTGCTGCCTGCCCTAAAACTCAGCACGTGGCTGCCAGGACCCCAATTCCCAGGCAGGTACAGCCCCACCGGCCACCTTCCCCTGCTGAGTGCCAGCCCCTCACCTACCTGCTGTTGTTGAACCTTCGCTACCTGTAAGAGAAACAGCACAGTCAGGAAGCTGCTCAAGGTGGGGAGAGAAGTGTCAAGCCTGCAGGGGTTCATGCTGCACTGGCAAAGCAGGGCTGCCCGCAAGACTTCCCATCACCCATGAGCAGACAGAGGAGAGCTACCTGTCACATCCCTGGCAGCTCACAACATCTTGCTTCAGGAAGCCCAGCCCTGACACCGTGTCAGAAGCATTGAGGGAAGGGGAGATAAAAGGATCCCTAAACTATAGCCCACACATAAGCCTTGCTGAGCCAAGCCAGAGGCTCTCTCATCAGTGTTGCTGCTGCCCAGGCAGCAGGCAGGGTGCTGAACACTGAGGCACCCTATGACTGCACCAGACCCCATAGAAGACCCTGGAGAGGGATATGCGGTGAGACCAGCAGGCAACAACCATTGAGGCAGTTGCCTGCAGCAAGATGGTCAGCAGCTCCCCAGGAGGAGGCAGCTGACTGTTGCAGGAAGGGCACCTGGCACTGGGATGGCTTGGTGGCCCTACATGGTGGGAGGGAGCCATGCTGGGCAAATATTTACCTGGCGTAAGAGCATGGGTTTTTTTTCAAAGAGCTGCATTATCATCTGTACACAGCTCAGGTATGGCATACAGAGTGGCACTATCTGCAGGCTGTGTCCAGCTGTATGGCCACTGCAGGAAAGCCACCGCCTTTGCCCAGCATCCGGGGCCAGAAGTGGTTATTCTGAACTGGGGGTGGCTGGGAAAAGATCCGTAAGTGTGGGCACAGAAGGTGCAGCTGCAAGTAAAGCAAGACGTGACCCCACAGCACTGCATTTCTGTGCTCAGCAGCCCCAGGGCTAAAGCAGGCAGTTAACACTGAGGTGGGGAGAAAATCCCAACGATCCTGTGCATGCAGGGCAGGGGACCAGTAACCTCATCCAGGAGTACTGGGACATTGTCCTGGCACTTCAGGAACAAGGGTTTTGTTACAGT